CCCTTGAGTAACAAGGATATGCACATGGAAACGTTTATGAGAGTAGTTATGAATAATTATTCAGCCACATACAGCTGCACTAAATTGAGTTAAAGTTTACTCTAAGAAATAGCACAGTCCAATAAACAAGTCCAGGTCATATACGTTTTACAATCCAAAGAATATCCAATTACAAAGTCTTCTTACCGGGTGCTTTGTCATTTACAGTAAACAAAGATATCAAAGTATAAGCACAGCAGAAAAACTTTAGATAGCAACAGAATGTCAGAGATACAGAATGTCAGAAATAAGGAATGTCAGAGAGAGCAAGCTATGATCTCTAGCTCCCTCTTATGGCAATTCACAATACAATCAACCAATCGGAACATAGTACAATCAATGCAGTGTCTTTGTCTTAAAGCTACAAACATACATTGTTGGTTTATATATTGCTAACCCAAGTAATTGGTGTACAGATTCCTAACAGTTATCATTTTCATTTCCCTTTTGCTTTGAAGGTAATAATGGGCAAGAGAACCAAGATTCTTGTGAACTGTTCCAAGTGATCAATGCTAAGGATGGAACAGAGAAGTTTGGAATTCGAATGGAATTCGAAAACCATGATAGAAACCAGTCAAAGAATTTCAACCAGGAAAGCTCATCTTCCACTGATGCTCCGATGCAAGACTTTCTTGCCCAACAAGAGGAAATAAGGAAAAAATACACTGGAAAATATGTGAAGCTAATCAAAGCTAAAGTACAAGTAAATGAACACTATTTAACCCAAAACAAAGGAGAAGATGCTATAAGAAGACACAGTGGACAAAATTACAATAGGACATTCATTCTTTCTCTTGGGAATAAGTTCCTTACATCTCAAAAAACGATTGACACAGAAGTGAAGCCTTATAAGTGTTTGGAATGTGGAAAATGTTTTAGAACAAGCAGGCAACTTATTTCCCATGAAAGAATCCACACGGGGGAGAAGCCGTATAAATGCATGGAGTGTGGAAAGACCTTTGCTGAAAGAAGTACTCTTATTTCCCATAAGATGATCCACACAGGGGAGAAACCATTTAAATGCATGGAGTGTGGAAAGACTTTTGCTTGGAACAGTGCCCTTAGAAGCCACAAAAAGATCCACTCAGGAGAGAAACCATTTAAATGCATGGAGTGTGGAAAGACCTTTGCTCATAGAAGTGCACTTACTGTCCATAATACGAACCACACAGGGGAGAAACCATATAAATGCATGGAGTGTGGAAAGAGCTTTGCTCAAACAAGTAAACTTATTTCCCATGAAAGGATCCACACAGGGGAGAAGCCGTATAAATGCATGGAGTGTGGAAAGACCTTTGCTCAAAGAGGTAATCTTATTTCCCATGAAAGGATCCACACAGGGAAGAAGCTGTATAAATGCATGGAGTGTGGAAAGACCTTTGCTGAAAGAGGTCATCTTATTTCCCATGAAAGGATCCACACAGGGGAGAAGCTGTATAAATGCATGGAGTGTGGAAAGACCTTTGCTCAAAGAGTTGATCTTATTTCCCATGAAAGGATCCACACAGGGGAGAAACCATTTAAATGCATGGAGTGTGGAAAGACCTTTGCTCAAAGAAGTAATCTTATTTCCCATGAAAGGATCCACTCAGGAGAGAAGCCATTTAAATGCATAGAATGTGGAAAGACCTTTGCTCATAGAAGTAATCTTATTTCCCATAAGATGATACACACAAAAGAAGCTGTGATGACCCGGGTCGGGCACAAAAGCAACAAAGTCACAAAAGTTGGTAACGTCCCTTTAATATCTCCAATGTGACCCCCAATGCCCACTTATCATCGGCTGTAGAAAAAACTCTCCCAAGAACAGTTTTTAAAGGGAAGAAATTCAGTCCGAAGCCAAAGTACATATAGATTATCAATAAAAACCAACACAAACCACAGCTGCAGCAATTAACGAGGCAGGCAGGATACGGATTTGCAGACTTCAAAAGATAACGAAGCACACACAGTTGGGAGGATGCAGGAACCCAGATAAGACTTGACAAACAAAGATAATGCATACTTTGCTTCCAGCAAGGTGCTGTGCGCAAACGTCCTTTTTAAATCCTGCTTTCCCAGTGGCGGCTAATGAAGGGAATCAGGGCCCTTTTCTCCCCTGTAACCCCCATAACTCACATTGCTCCCTTCTCCGTTCCTTCCTGCGTGCCCTAGGATGAAGAGGGTGTGGGCCTGCTATGGCAGTTGGATAGCTTTTTTAAGAAGTAGGCACATATTCCGTCCAGTCCAATAGATAGAGATGGTTTTAGATTTTGTAGTGCTTTTTCAACATTGTCTTCTTTAAAATCGATATGTATTAGATCATTGTAGTTGTCTGTGGTTCGACTAGGAAATACTGGGCATGATCCATTGCTGTTTACAAATACTGAGCCAAAGAATGTGTTAAAGATGTTGGCTTTAATGGTGTCATCGTTGCAGTCTTTACCATTAGGTCCTTTCAGGGGTGGGATGGACCTTGAGTCTTTTAGTTTGTTGTTTTTACAAAACTGTAGAAAGCGTGGGTGGAATTGGTGCACAGAAGGTTTTCCTGTTGTTTAATGTGATAATTGGTGCATTCAGTCTATCTGGTGGCATAATTTTTTTTTTTTAAAAAAAAACAATTTTATTGGTTTTTAAAGACAAACAAAACATAAAAACATCCAGCTTTCTTTCATAAATATATAAGCAGTGTGTCGGTTGGTTTACCAATTTTTTGTGCATCCATTTCGTAGTCTCAATTACAGTTACATTACATAATAACTCATATTATCAATCAGAAATTAAATACCCTAGTATCACTATTGAACAATCATTTGACTATAATTTTATTCATTCATACTTTGCGAGATAACTATACTTAGTTTATTTTATAACAAATCATATAATCATACCAAATCTATCCTAAAAACATTTTATAGATATGATATAAAAAAAAAAGAAATACATCTTTATATATTCATTATTTTCTAGAATTCTAGATATTCTATTATTGTGTTTTATTATCTAACCATTGATAGAAAAGGTCCCAAATTTTATAAAATTGTTTATCCTCTTGTTCTCTAATTTCAAATGTCTATCTACTCATTTCAGCACATTCCAATATTTTCTTAATGATTTCTTCCTGCGACGGTATTTTCTCATTTTTCCAGTTTTTAGCAAATATAATCCTAGCCGCTATTAATACATTTACAATCAGGTATTTCAAATCTTTACTATATGTATCAGGTAAAATTCCCAATAAAAAGATCTCTGGTTTCAAGTCTATGTGTTTCTTTGTCATTTTTTCCAACCACATGCGAATTTTAGTCCAATATTTTCTAGCGTCCTCACAAGTCCACCACATATGGTAATATGAGGCAGGTATCTGATGACATTTCCAGCATTTTTCAGATTTATTCTTGAACATTCTTGCTATTCTTGTCGGGGGAAAGTGCCACCTGTAAAACATCTTATACAAATTTTCTTTATATGCTGTTGACATTGTCATTTTATAATTTTGAGACCACAATTTTTGCCATTTCTCTAAATCAATCCCATATCCAAAATTCTTCCCCCAAGCAATCATAGTTTCTTTAACTTGTTCTTCCTCTAGTTTAATTTCCAATAAATAACCATATAGTTTTTTAATCACCTTTTCATCGGTACCTGTCAAAATCTTATCTAAATCAGTCAATTTATCATAGAATCCTTCTGTTTTAAAATCTTCATCATACCTTGAATGTATTTGCGCATATGAAAACCAATTCATTTTTATACCTGGTTCCTCTAAATTTTGCATCGATTTAAGTTCACCCTTTTCATCCAATATTTCCCCATATCTAACTGTTTGTTTCTTCTTATATATTATAGGATAGGAAAAAGCTTCAATAGTCGATAACCAAACTGGGATTTTCAAATAACATTGTCTTTTAATCTTCTCCCAATTTAATCAAAACACTCCCGTATATGATGTCTTCTAAAATAGCCCTGTGTTTTAGTTCCCTTGTACCATAGAAAAGCATGCCATCCCAACAGAAAATCATGTCCTTCTAGTGTCAACAATCTGGTCTTTCTTAATGTTATCCATTCCTTAGCCCAGTGATCCCCAACCTTTTTGACGCCGCGGCCCGGTACCGGCATCAGCTGGGCGCCGCGGCCCGGTACCGGCATCAACTGGGCGCCGCCATCTTTTTTTGATGAAAAAGTGCTTCCGGTGAGCTTTCTACCCGGAAAAGCTCACCAGAAGCACTTTTTTACCAAAAAAAGATGGCGGCGCCCAGCAACCAGCGGCCCGGTAAGACTTGTTCCGCGGACCGGTACCGGTCCACGGACTGGCGGTTGGGGACCCCTGCCTTAGCCCACATCAAATTTGCAGCTTGATAGTACAACTCCCAATTAGGCAGACCAAATCCTCCTCTAATTCTAGCATCCTGTAAAAGTTTTAACTTTATTCTCGCGTTCTTGCCTTGCCATATATACTTCAGGACAATTTTATTTAAGTCTTCAACATAGTCTTTTCCAAGCCTAATTGGTATTGTTTGAAACAAGTACAAAATTCTGGGTAGGATATTCATCTTGATTGTTGAGATTCTCCCTATTAATGACAATTGTAGGTTTTCCCATTTCATCAAGTCTAACGCTATCTGTTGTTTGAGTTTAATGTAATTATTCTCTTTTAATGTACTACATCTTGGTGTCAAGTGTATCCCCAAATACTTAACCTTATTCGTGACTTGAATTTTCAATGGATCTGCCAGTTCTCTTTGTCTTATTAACATATTCTTTGTCAAAATCTTTGTTTTATCTTTGTTTATTTTCAAACCAGCCACCTCACCATAAGTCTCTTATCTTTTCCAATAATTTTGGAGCTGTTTCTAAGGGGTCTTCCAGAATAAAGGCCAAATCATCCGCAAAGGCTTGCAATTTAAATTCTTCCTTTTTGATTTTCATTCCTTTTATACCTTTATCATCTCTAACATTTCTATTCAACACTTCCAAAGTTAATACAAATAGCAAAGGTGATAGTGGGCAACGTGACCAGATTTGTTTTTCCGCCAGAGTGATCTCTTTTTGGATTGAAGTTTCCTTATTGTTATGGGTAATCTGCTTTTTTGTTTTGTTTTGGGAGTTGTTGTTGGTACATATAGTTTGATGACTCTTTTGACTTCAAGTAAAAATATGTTGTAATGGTCTTCAACAGTATTGCATCCAGTGAATAGAGATTGCCAATCAAGGGATGAGAGATCGTTGTCTATAAGATCATAGTTGCCTTTTTTGAAGTTATAATTGGGGATTATGTTGTGATTATTTTTGTATGGGCGTATGTTGAGACAAAAGTCAATCATGCTGTGGTCGCTGTTGGAAAAGGGTTCTTTAGTTTGTATTCTGTAAATTAAATTCAAACTATTGCACAAGATGAGATTGAGGCAGTTGTTAAGTCTAGTATTGTTGGTTACTAGTTGTTCCAGTCCCAGATTTGTAACAGCATTGTAGAAGGTTGCATGGATGGGTTCAGTTGTATATTCATTTAGGGTCCAGTTAATATGAGGTAGATTGAAGTCACCAAGAAAGATAAAAGCGTGTGGGCAGGATGTTGCCCATGTTAGTAGTGAATTTAGCTTGTTTACATATTCGATGTCATAATCAGATGCCCTGTAACATAGTAAGAATTGAAATGTGATATTTAAGGACAGTTCACAGACAATGGTCTCAGGAAGAGCAAGCTCCTGGGTAACTTGGATGTTTTTTAGATGTAGGGACTTTTTATAAAAGATAGCAACACCACCTCCTCAACGGATTTCACAATCTGATGGGTAAACGTGATAGTTTCTTACTGTGGTAATGGAGTCAGGAAAAGACGCGTTGAGCCATGTTTCACAGACAAATATGATGTCGAATTTAGCCATATTTAGTAAGAGGAAAAATCCAGGTATTTCATTCACAAGGCTTCTTGCTAGCTTGCATTTAAGGCCAGCTGTAGTTGGAATTGAGGTAGTTAGGGGCATGCGTGCCTAGTCTTGGGTGATGGTGGAGTGGTTGAAGTAGGGTTGTGGTTGAAGGTCCCTTCATCTTCAACTTCCAACTTTGGAAAATGCTGGTCTCCCTTCTTCCCTTTTGTGAGGCGTTAAAGCCCTGCACCAAGACTTGGCTAACTCACAGGTTGCTCAATCTATTTTCCTTTTTTCTCGGTCTTTCCCTCCCTCCCTCTTCCACTCTCCCTTCCCGGCAACCCCGGATCCCCTTTTGAAGACGGGGAGGAAGAGCGCCCCCTGTGGGAAGGGCGAGGCAGCACTCCAGCGGGACTCCAGTAGGGGGCGGCAGAGGCCTCAGAGCTGGCGGACTTCTGGCACCGTCGGGCAGCGCGAAGGGAAAGGGGGGGATTTGGAGAAGGCGGGAGGGGGGCTTTAAGTGAATGTCATTGCCCAGAGGATCATGGGTTGCCCTCTCCCCTCTTTGGAAGAGCTTTAGAGCTTCCG